TCCTAGCTACTTGGGCGGCTCACTTGAGCCCAGGAATTTGAGGTTGCAGTGAACTATGATGACACTATTGCACTCTAGCCCAGGCAACAGAGTGACACTTTGTCTCAAAAAATATATTAATCAATTAATTAAAAATAAAAGGGTCAACATTTAATGGCAGGCAGAGTTATGGTGTGTTGTTTCTAAAGACAACACTCATTCAACATGATTTGTGCCTTTTGTCCCTAGCACCATTCTAAGCAATGGGGACACAGCACTGAAGGAAACAAGAACAGTCTTGTCCTTATGGAGTTTACCAGATGAATGCGGACGACAGAGAGTAATCAAATAATCCCACAAATACATTTGCATTGCACCTAGTCACATCTAAGATTCCATTAGATTTGCCATTATTTTTTGTAACACTAAGAAATAAAGCTGACAAAAGTGACATACCACCGACTGTAAGAATACATCAAAATTTCAGAAATGTTCAAATGTGAGGAAAGTCTGTATCTTAAAAGTGATAAAACATGATGCTTAGAACCAAGAAGAGGTCCATGGAATAAAGAATGAAGATAATCTGATGGAGAAGGACAAGGTGGGGAGGGACCACGAGAAGAGACACCTACTTCAATACGGTGACGAGGACAGGAAAGGCCTCCTTTTAAGAAGTGTTGATAACATTTAATGCAAAACTTGACGAGAGGCAAAAGCTGGGCAGGCGGAGGATACTGCACGTGCAAAGGCCAGAGGTGGGAAAGAAGCCGAGAGGAGGAAAGTGTGGCAAAGCGCGGAGCCAGAGGGAAAGAGTGTGGTGTGCTGGCAGGAGAGAGGAAGTGGGCACAGGTCTGGTAGGGCCTTGTAGGTCATGGAAGTTTGGGATTCTGGTCTCTGTGTTGCTTGGGCTGCCATAACAAATACCACGAACTAGGTGGCTTACATAACAGAAATTAATTTCCTCACCATCCTGGAGGCTAGAAGTCTGAGATCAAGGTGCTGTCAGGCTTGTTTCTTAAGGCCTCTCCCCTTGGCATGTAGATGGCCGCCTGTTCCCTGTGTCTTCAAGTTGGTCTTCCCTGTGTGTGTCTGTGTCCTAATCTCCTCTTACGATAATGATAGCAGTCATACTGGATTAGGTCCCACCCTAGTGACCTCATCTTACCTTAATCCTCTCCTTAAAGACCCTTCCTCCAAATACAGTTACATTTTGAGATAGGACTACAAAAAATTCATGTGTTCGGGGCCGGGCGCGGTGGCTCACGCCTGTAATCCTAGCACTCTGGGAGGCCGAGGTGGGCGGATTGTTTGAGCTCAGGAGTTCGAAATCAGCCTGAGCAAGAGAGAGACCCCGTCTCTACTAAAATTAGAAAGAAATTAATCGGACAACTAAAAATATATAGAAAAAATTAGCCGGGCATGGTGGCGCATGCCTGTAGTCCCAGCTACTCAGGAGGCAGAGGCAGGAGGATCGCTTGAGCCCAGGAGTTTGAGGTTGCTGTGAGCTAGGATGATGCCACGGCACTCTAGCCCGGGCAACACAGTGAGACTCTATCTCAAAAAAAAAAAAAAAAAAAAATTCATGTGTTGGGACTTCAATATATGAATTTTAGGAAGACACAATTCAGCTCACAATAGCCTCAGAGGATTGGAAAACCACTGAAGGGTACTGAACAAAGGAATGATATGATTGGATCCAGGTTTTTGAAGATCATGCTGGCTTCAGTAAAGGGACAGGATGGAAAGGGGTGCGGGCAGAAGGTGAAATCCACTGGACTGTCACAGGTGTTCAGACTAGTGATGCTAGTGGTTTGGACCAGGGTAAAAGGGGTCAGACTTGAGAAACAACCTGGGGGGTAGCAAATGGCCCCCTGGTGGAGTGGCTGTGCTCCTGGTTTGAGTAACAGAATGCATGGTGCTGTTCACTGAGCTTGGGAAGACAGGAGGAGGATGGAGCTTTCAGAACCCTCCCTGCCAAGGTGTTTCCCTTGGGGTCCCTTCATGAAAACAGCAATGAACATGCCCTGAAGGTCATGGGAGAAGTGCTGAGGTTAAACTCCTGGCCCTACCCCATCCTTCCTGGCCTGGTCAGCATCCCGCACACCCATGAGCCTAGAGGGGCATGGCCTTCCAACTGCAATATGCAATGCAGTCCAACCCATACTGGTGAGCCTCGCTGTGGGACGGAGGGAGTGGGGTGGAAGTAAGAAGGGCAAGACCAGCCTGGTGGGGTGATGAATAGCCCACAGAGGTCCCATAGCACACAGCTAGGCTAGGGCATGAGGCCAGTGACTTACGGCAGAGGGTGAGTTTCTCCAGCCCAAGAGTTTCCTCTGTTTCCCCTAGGCACTCCCTGAGTGTGGGTCATCTGGGAAGCTCACTTATGGGTTGGGCCTCCTCCCCTCAACAGACTCAGTGAGGGCTCCAGAACCCCAGGTCCTAGCCATAGGCTACAGAGACAGGCTGTGAGCAAGGGGCTCCTTTCACCTCCCACATGAGTGTACAGCCCTGCTGTGGATGTTGTGGTCCACGCTGTTCCATGTGCCAGATCTTCCCCGTGGCCATGTCTGTGCTGCCCAGCGGAGGGCCCTGGCTTTGAGTCCTGGTCTGGGCTTGGCACTGAACCCCCCTGGACTCCTTCTATGTTCAATGTGGCTAATTGTGCAGGGCTCAAGGGGCTCAGGGACAGAGGGACAGCAGGTAGTATTAAAGGAGGGGAAAGCTTGGTCTGAGCTGCCAGGCCCTGCCTGAGCCCTCAGGGGAAGGTGGAAGCTGAAGCCCAGCCCTCAGTGAGCTCACGGAGCAGGAAAGAGGCTGGGGCTCCTTCCTTAGCAAGCTTGCAAGTTGCAGGGCAGAGGAGGAAAGTATCCTCTCACAGCACGGAGAAAAATCTCTCAGTCCTCGGCCAAGCATAGAACAGCAAATAGGGTCTATGTGGACCCAAGAAGTGCACGGGGAGGAGGAGATCATTGTAGGACCTGAATTTCTTCAACAGTCCTTTTATTCCAAGTGAAGAATGACCCTGACTGATCTCCCATCAATTACACTCCACAGACCAAGGGGAAATGGTTTACTTTTTGACCAACGCCCTTGACACAAGAATGAAACCAGGGCTCCCGGTGAGCCTGGGAATTCCATGAGCCTGGCCAAGGTTACCTCTCCCAGCTCATGGAATTTCAGGCTGAATACTTGCAGAGAACACCCAGGGTCTGATGCTCGAGAGCCCTGGTGCTTCTCACCAGCCTCATTCCTGGGCTCCCTCCTGACACCAGCACAGTCGGGAAGGAGCTGCTCTCATTCTTTTTTCCCCAAGTCTTTGGAACCTACAAGTCTGCTTTCTGTGCACTGGGGGGTATCACCTGCTCTGGGGATGGGGCCATACCACATGGTTCATTAGCAAGGGACAGCACACCTGAATATGTGGTCACATGGGAAGGGCGGATGAAACTGAACCCTGGCTTAAAACCCCAGTCCTCTCCCACCCTGCAAATCCATTTGCCTAGCGCTATTCATTGCCCCCGTTAGGTCAGTCTCTGCATCCTGGTTCTGGAGATACATGAAGAATAGACCTTGTCCAGACCCTCCAATAATCTTTGTAGCCACCACATAAAGAGCTCCTGCTACCCCTCAGGACTACCCTTTCTATATAATCGACCACAGAACAATGGACTCTCAAAAGCCATGAAAATCCAGGCTAAGAGAAGGTTCTATGGCAGCTGGAGGGAGAAGGCAGGGTCCAGTGCTCTTCTGCCCAGATCTGCTCAACCCTTGCTCACACTCCCCAAAGGCGCAGTAACCTTGCCCTGTCCAGTTTCAGCTGGGGGCCTGGCCCTTCCTGAGACCCCAGCTGCAGTGAGAGAGGATGCAGAGACCATACCCCAGCAAATAGGCCTAGTGAGGCCTCTAGGGGTAGAATTGCACCCCCAAAAGATACATTATCCTAGCCCCAGTGCCTCAGAATGGGACCTTATTTGGATATAGGGTTGTTAAAGATATAGCTAAGATGAGGTAGGCTGAGCACAGTGGCTCACACCTGTAATCCTAGCACTCTGGGAGGCCGAGGCAGGAGGATCGCTTGAGCTCAGGAGTTCGAGACCAGCCTGAGCAAGAGCAAGACCCTGTCTCTACCAAAAAAAAAAATAAAAATAGCTGGGTGTGGTGGCATGCACATGGAGTCCCAGCTACTCAGGAGGCTGAGGCAGGAGGATTGCTTGAGCCCAGGAGTTTGAGGTTGTAGTAACCTATGATGACACCACTGCACTCTACCCAGAACAAGAGAGTGAGACTCTGTCTCAAAAAAAAAAAAAAGAAAAAAAAAAGATGAGGTTATACTGGAGTAGAGTGGGCCCTTAATCTAATATGACTAAGGTCCTTATAAGAAAAGACACAGGGAGAAAAGGTCAGGTGTGACAGGTGGAGGCAGAGACTGGAATGATGCATGTATAAGCCAAGGAACACCAAGGACTGCCAGAAGATACCAAATGCTGAAGAGGCAGGGAAGGATTCACCCTATGAGCTTCAGAGAGACCATGGCCCTGCGGACACCTTGACCTTCTTGAACTTCCAGCTTCTAAGTTTCTGTTGTTTCAAGCCACCCAGTTTGTGGTGCTTTGCTGTGGCAGTCCTAGGAAACTAATATAAGGCCTAAGACCTCAAGCTCCTGTCACTTAGGAAGAACCCCCACCCCAACACACACACATACACACACACACACACACACACACACACACACACACCCCAACTGCAGCTACTATGACCCACAATCACACTATAAATCCCTAAAAGTCCTTCATAAACAATCTTACCCAGAACATGGTATTGGCTGGCTTTGGGTCTGAATTATGTGCCTGTGTTTGATAGCAGGGAAGCTGTACTTATTCTCAAACTCTTTGTGATTCAGACTGGACCCAAATTCCATCCAGCTCTGGGAACTGGAGTCCAGCTTTCCTCCCCATTTCCCTCCTCACTGGTCCCAGGGAGCCAGGCTCCTCTGTTTGCAGAGAACATGAGCATCTGTGTACCTGGCACACGTTGTAGTGCTCAAAGAGAGATAAGAAGCCAATATCGCTGCGTGCAGCAATGCCTCTGAGAAGTGTGATGTTCCCGTCCCCGGAATCCAGCTCAACCACATCGTTGAAAACATTGGAAACGGCTCTTCCGGTCAGGAGCAGATTGACAAGTTCCTGTAGGTGAGAAAAAGAAGAAAGGCTTGTCAAGTCACTGCATCAGCTACTGCAAGTGTGGAAGGGAGACTGGGAACAAGAAAAAAGAAAGGAGAAGGAAGGAAAGCAAAGAGGGAGAGAGCCCCAGATCAGAGGAGGTTGTTACTTTAATTTTCCCAGAAGCCCTGGTGGAAAGTTGCCAACTTTTCTCATTATAGTGACTCCAGGCCCCCATCCATCTTTATGCCACAAGCATTCAGTGGGTACCTACTGTACACAGGACTCTGTCCTATGCCCTGGGTTGTCGGGGGGCTGGTGGGAGGGTGAGACAAGGCTCCTGACCTAGGGCATTTGGGTCTAGACTGGGGTCAGGTATGTGCCTGCACGTTGAAGCACAATGCAGCATGTGACCAGGGCTACAAAAACGGGTGCACAAAGCACTCTGGGGCCCAGATGGATGCGAGACCACATGATCAAGTCAGGGACGCTTTGTGGAGAAGTGACATTTGGGTGGGTCTTGAAGGATAGTATTTTTTAAATAAACTTTTTTATTTTGAAATAACTTTAGATTCAAAAGAAGTTATAAAAATAGTACAGAGAGTTCCTGTGTACCCTTCACCCAGCTTCCCCCAACGATAACATCTTACATAACCACAGCACATTATCTCAGCCAGGAAACTGACCAACTGGTACAGCACCAATAACTAAACTCCAGGCCTTATTCGGGCTTAACTAGTGACAGTTTTAACAGGCAGTGGGAGAGTAGAGGAAGGTACTTCAGAGACCAGGAAGAATAGAGCAGGGAGGTGGAGGCAGGAAGCCCAAATCGGGGTTCTAGCTCAGTCTCTTTGTCTTGCTGTGGGGAATTAGATATTTGATGGTCCTGTGACTCACACTGCACACCCGCCAAGCCAACAAGCATGCTGACCCTGGAAACCATAGACGGTGGCAAGTGGAGCACTGTTTTTCTGGAGGTCACCTTCAACCTGTACCTCCTGCATCAGGGTGGACCACTGTGGCTAGAAGGTCCCTTCCTTATGCAGGGCACCCAAGGGTCCCACCTACTGTTAGAAATGGAGAAATCGAGGCTCACGGGCAAGAAAGGATTTGCACAAGCCCCACAGCCAATTGATGCCAGAGCTGAACTTCCACCCACACCTTCTGGCTCCCTGTCTGATGTTGCCTCCTTCTCCCCCTACCTTGGTATCCTGATGGTACCATCTGCTCAGACACAGATTCAAGATGAAGGGTGGCCTCTTAGGACCCACTTAGGAAGGATTCCAGCGAGCCCAGCCCCAGCACTAGGGCAGGCAGGTCCCTCTGTCTTGCCCACCTTCTGCCAGGGCTGGCATTGCCTGTGAGGCAAGCAGGCAAGCATCTCTCCCACGGCATGCAGGAAAGGCCAGAACAGCACTTCCCCAAGTGTAAACTCTGAAGGGTAGAGTTTATAGACGTGTTTTCCCCTGAATTGTGAAAACGACATCCGGGGTTAATAAATCCCTCTGTTAACACAAACACCCCTGCCCCAGTGACAGTAAAAGAGGCCTCTTCTGATGGCCACAAAGGGTCCCCTATTGGAGGGAGATACTAAAGGGGCCTCATTGTGTCCTTGCAGAGGAAATGAGAAAAGAATTTGCAGGAAATGTCTGCTCTAAGATACTGTACCTCAGGGCAATGGCTGCTAAGAAAGACGCAGATTTTTTCAGGCAGGTTTGAGTTTTCCCATCAGGTTTTAGAGGGAAAAAAGAACCCTGCTCCAGAATCTGAGGTGTGTCGAAAACCTTCCTCATAGCAGGAAGCCTGCTTGAGATGGAGGAGAAGGGGTAACAGGAGCTCTCCCTGCCCCTAGACTCAAAAGCCACACAGTGGCAAAGCTTAGTAGCCATCTAGTCCCTTGCTACTCAAAGTGTGGTCCATGGACCAGCAGTACGGTCCTCCCTGCGGAGCCTATTAGAAATTCAGAATCTCAGGCCCCAGCCCAGACCCACTGAATCTGAGCCTGCTCTTCAGCAAGACCCCCAGGGGATTCATGTGCACATCACAGACTATGAAACCCTGGTTTCATCCAAATGCCTCCTCTACAAATGAGGAAATTGAAGCTCAGGGAAGGCAGAAAGACTGCCCTAGCTTATTCTGTGGATAAGACAGAACAGGGCTTGGAACCCAGGCCCACGCCCTGGTCTGGCATCCTCTGCACCCTGCCTGACTGCCTACTCCTAGGCAGCACCACTGTCTGCCCTCCACAAGGGGAAGCCCCCACAGAGCACACAGGCACCCAGAGTGAGAGCAAGGTCACCCCAGGTAGCAAGAAGAGCAGCCACTCCCCCCAAGGCCTTCTTCTAAGAAGACAGGTAGCAGCCAACCCCACAGTTCCTCTATGGGTGCTCTGGACAAGCCACGGGCCCCAAGCTTGCCCCTGCATGGTGCCCAGGTCATGAGCCAGGACCCCCAGGACAATTAGGTCCTCAGTTGAGCCTGGAAGACTGTGCAGCTCTGTCCGGCCTAGCCATGCCACACATGTTGGCCCCTCTATCCACAGAGGGTCAGATTTCCCTGTGGCCTATATGGCCACTCTGGGAGGCCATAATAGGGAGAGAAAGGTATGAAGAGAGACTAGGCGTAGGATTTAGCTCTCAGTTTTGATGCTCACTAGACAGCATCTTTAACAGGTCCCTTCCCTTGTCACCTGGGTGACTGGGAAGGTCAATGACAAGCAACTGTGCTCAGGGTCTTCCCTGCCCCTACGAAGCCACTGGAGGGCCCCTTTGTGAAGATGCAGTGGGAAGGGCTGCTGTAAAGACAACATCCTGTGCAAACAAAAAGGGTGCCAGAGCTGCCATCTCATCAAGTGGACCCAGGGTCCCCCAGCCCATGCCTGGGGCATCGCTCCCTGCATCCTGGGCTATGCAGCACTTGGGTCGGCATCAGCCTCTTTTGCATCCCTGTAGCCCTGAGCACGTGAGCAGTGTGTAGCAAGCTCTCCAGAAACAAAAGCTAAACTGTGTTCTCTTCCTAGGTCTCCATGACATGCTGGTGGAGCCCACCATAGGTGGGCACGTAAAAGCTGCTTGGAGGGTATTGGCAGCGGCTAAGAAAGGAGGGAGGAACAGTGGAAGGGGAAGAACCACCTGCTGCCCCTGGGCCCCATGGTGCCCCCTGACCTGTGTGCAGTACCCGTGTGCTCCAATCAGGTGGTTGGTGGAAACATCAAAGTCCTGGCGAACGCTGGAAAACACAAGCAGCAGCAGTGTTAGTACACCTCTGCCCAACAAGGCCACCTGGGCAGTCCTTACCAGGTGACCCGGCGCTCCCCTCAGGGTCCAGGTTGAGGCCCAGGATTCCAGATTTGGTGGGAACCTGAATGCTGTGTGTCTGCGCCCTCCTGGAGGAGACTCCCACCCAGAAGGATGGAGGCTGGGGCCCAGGCCTCCTTGAGTAGAGCTCACTGCACTCTCTGGCTTCACCAGTCTTCTGTCTACACTGGGGAACAGTGACTGGGTGTGACACAGCTGACAGCCCCTGGGTTTGGAATCCAGTGTCCTGAATTCATATCCCACCTGTTGCTACCGATAGGGAGACTGGGGAATCCTCTTCTATCTCTGGGCCTGAGTCTGCCAGTCTGTTAAATGGGAGAAATGGACTCTAATGCCACCTTGAATTCTAAAATAATAGCTGCCACCACCTGAGCACAGCGTTTGCTCCAGGCACTGTGCACACATTATTCCTCAAAACCTCATGAGAAAACCCAGGCTCAGAGAAGGGACATCCTAGCCCAAGGGTGCTCAGCTCATGGGTGATGGGGCTGGCAGGGACTCGGGCAGCCAGTCTCTGAGGCCTATGCCCTCCCAAAGTTACCACTGTGGCTCCATCCTTGGAATGGTGTTCCTCAAAAGGCACATGGTGAAAAGATCCTTTGCCAGAAGAAATTCTTCAAACTTAAGGGAATGGATTTCTAGGGCAGTGCTGGGGACCAGAACAATTCAGGGTGTCCCAGTCAGCAGGGGCCCTGTCACATGGAGAGGTGAGGTGATAAGCACCAGGAGGCACAAAGTCCTTCCTGAGTCTCACACCCTCCTTCCTGGTTGTTGCCATCCTGGAAAGTCCACTCTTAGCTTTTAGCTAAGGTTTTCCTTTTAGCTACCCCAAAGTAAATTCCTCTGGGAGACGAAAGCATTGTTGGCAAACAGAGCCCTGTAAGGAATGGACAGTAAAGGAGCTACTCTCTATTGACCGTGCACAGTGGACACAATTTCAACCCTCCTGTCCCCTACCTGCCAGCAAAGTACGCGTTACTGTCTCTATTTCATAGACGTGCAAAGAAGCTCAGAGAGGGGGGCTTCAGCGGGGTGAGGTGAGCCCCCTCCACTGCTGCACACAACCCTGGGGGCACACATGGCGCTAGGGGGCACACAGCTGTGGGGCAGTACATGTCCTGGGAATCGAACACATGTGGTCCTGGGGGGCACATGCCCTGGGCACACATGGGGGCAGGAGGTCACATGCCCTGGGGGTACACGCAGCCCTGGGGGGCACGCCACCCATCCAGCACTGTGCCCAGGACCTGGCCGCCTTCCTTCATCCACGCTGTAAAGAGAGAGGCCAGGCGTAGGACTTAGAGAGGTGTCCCAGGAGCACAAAGGACTTAGCAATCAGAACATTTATTTTTCCTTTTAGTGAAAGAGAAGAGAAATATGGTCTCGATTTATGCTTTAAATCTAAGATCTGACTTAAGCCCACAAACCTAAACCACATGCCCTGGTCCCTGTCTCCTTCCAAAATAAGTTAGGAAATTCAAGCTCTATGATACTTGCAGGAAAAACTTTCTTGTGGTTTTTAATAAACCATGGCCAAACGGGGAAGGTTTATGGTCCAAAGGAGAAGACGGGCTGGGGTTAGCATCATTGGGGCCACAGTGAACCCCTAAGGCTTGGGGTCCTCTGATAAGGGACTTTGAGGCTCACCCACCACAGACAGTCCAGCCGGCCTGAGAAGGAGCCAACGGGGAGTGACTCACGGCACAGCACAGCGCTCGGCTGGCGCGAGCTCAGGCAGAAGAATTGATGGAAACACTCTCCGCAGCATATACAAGCATCTTCTGAAGAGAAGAAAATAACCTCAAAGGAGTCCTGAGGGTACCGATAAGCATCACTGGCCCCGAGCCACCTGAAGCTTTCAGAAGCAGTACGATCTTCATAAGCTCACAGCCTCGTGTTCACCCAGCGGGCTTGAGAGCCTGCGTCAGCTGGGAGCAGAGGGATAAGCAGAAAGGACAATGGGAGGAAATGGTAATTGCATCCTTAGGTGCAAACACGATGGGAAATTCAGAAGTGCACTGGGATCTTAAAAGGGAGGAACATCTGTATTTCACATTAGGGCATTCAGGAGACGCCAAGGAGCGGCTTATGGCTTAAGAGATTTACAACTTTGGCAAATCTAGATGCCCAGACCTCCCTCTAGGGGAATTCCCTGGAGAACGGAGTGTGAAGAGTCCTTGAGCAGGGGAACAACAGCTCGGCTCTACCCACAGAGAAGGCAATTCACACGGCAGGGCTGTCACCAGACCCAGGTTCTACCCGCAGCCTGCCGTGTGGCTGCAAACCTCTCTCCTCGGTGGGCCTCTGTCTTTCCTTCTGGAACACAAGGGTCTTGGACAAGATGAGAGGTGTAATGGCCTGAACTGTGTCCTCCCAAAGGTCACATGTTGAAATCCTAACCCTCAGTACCTCAGAATGTGCGTTTGCAAATAGAGCCTTTTAAGGGGTGGTTAAGTTAAAATGAGGCCATTAGGGTGGGCTCTAGTCTAATCCGACTGGTGTCCTTGTAAGAAGAGGAAACTTGGACACGAAGGGACACCAGGGATGCATGCTCACAGCGGAAAGACCATATGAGGATGCAGCAAAAAGGCAGCCACCTGCAAGCCCAGGAGAGAGGCCTCAGAAGGCAACAACCCTGTTGGCACCTTGATCTTGGACTTCGAGCCTCCAGAACTGAGAAATAAGTGTCTGTTGGCCGAGCCCTGTCTGTAGTGCTTTGTTATCGCAGCCCCTAAGAAACTAATGCAAGTAGCCTCCAACATTTTTCAGACTCAGAGCCCATTCTTCACATGAAATCTGATATGCAGAAGCCCACTATGAAACATAGGGCAGAGCTGCTCTAGTTGAAGGCAGTGTGGGGGCTTCTCCCATCTTTCTCCCCCTGCATCAGCCCCTGTGGCCCCCTCCAGGAGACCCCTGGGTCTCCAAGGACACACAGCATCCCAGGAGCACGGGCCCCTGAGCTCTAGGGTTCCTATCCATGCTGGGCTTCTGAGCCACAAGCCATGACTCTCCCTTCCCTAGGACCGACTTAGAACCATGCAATATAATGGGTGGGCTGTCCCTTCCATCGTCCTCCTGGAACCATGTCCTGGGGGCTGGACAGCCCTGGGCCTCAGAGCATCCTGCAAAGCCTAGGAACTGGGCACCAAGCTGGATGACAGGAGCCAGGAGCGAGGCTCAGGACCAGAGGAAATGTGGCCCCGGAAGCTGTCCACACTGGGGAGCAGAACTTGCCGGAATTTCAGAGTCCAAGAAGCATAGAGTAAAGGAAGCGTGAGTGGACTTGACCAGGGACTGGAAACTCATGAGGAGGCGCTTGGCTCTGACTGCCCTGCCACCGACCTTCTCAGCATTCTGGGAGCAAAGGGCCAGGGTGATAACCCAGCCTTGGGGTGTCTGAGTTACACAATGACAAAAGAGGGGGAACAGAGAGCTCTACCCAGGATGCCAGCAAGGACAAAACTTCTCAACTCTGTCCACCATCGAGAGGTCCCTGAGACGCTGCACTATACCAAGGAACAGAACAAAGGTGACATCAGGACTGGGAAAGCTCGCAGTGCTCAGCATTTTGCAGATGGGAAGACGAATGCCCACAGAGACAAGACAACTGGCCAAGGGCTGGTGACCGACATTGGCCCAGATTCAGGGCTTAAAGCTGGGCCTGGATCTCTGCTGCCTCTCTCCACCTGCCCTTTGTCACACATCTCAGAGGGCCAGGGGCTCTGCCACTGAGCAGGCTGACAACGCATGAGCCTCGAATCTGTAAAGTCTTGGACACTTTCAAACATAACTTTATCCTGAAAGCCTTGTGAGGCCAAGAGAACAAGACCACCACCTCCATTTTACTGACGGGGAAACCAAGGCCCCAAGAGAAAGGACCTGTGGTTTTGTAATCACACTGAGTCAGCAGGGCCAGGACTGTGTCCCCAGCACCAACATCACACAGTGTCTGCCGTGGCCTGAAATGTGATGGTCAGCCTGGCCAGCCAGTTTCAGGCAGGCCGGGGAGCCCTGAGGCCCACCCCAGTTCCCATCAGCCCTAGTGCAGCTTGTCCCTTCACCTAAAGGCCTCCCCAGATCAATCTGGCACAGAAGTTTCTGAGTAAGAAGGAAAATAGTCAAAGTGGCCTAGAGACACGGTCCCAGCCTACACATCACAGCTATTCACCTGAAACCAAAGCCCACTTAGCCCCTAACTGGCGAGTAACCTTGGTAAAGTCCCTACCTCTTTCTCAGCCTGTGTTCTCATTTATAAAACCAGAGGACTGGAGCAAGAAATCTCTAGGGACCTCCTGGGATGTGAACAAGTATGTCTAGTCCATGACTCTGCTATTCAAACATCAAGCCTAAAATAGGCGGCAATTCACCTGGGAGGACCTGACCAGCCACCCCTCCTCTACCTGACCGCAAGGGCAGCAGGACCTGAAGAAGCCACATCCCACTGGGCCAGCTCCTGCCATCCCTCCCAGGGACTGCACCCTCACACGCAGTGTGACCTGCACGTCCCCCACCCACCTGCAGCGACCTTCAGAGATAATAGCCCTTTGGTGGGACTTCTATTGACTTTTAAGCAGATCTATAGTGTAAGGGTAGCTGTGGTACATCTAAGAGAACCTGGGCTCTAAAGTCTGGAAGTCCTGGGTTCAAATCCAAGTGGTGCCGCTTACAGGTTATTTCCCTCTGTGAGCCTCAGTTTCCCCACTTGCAATATAGATATGATGATGCATGCTGCCTTCTAGTAAAGATTGCTGTGGGAACTGAATGAGATGAACTATATAAAGCATTTGGCATTCAGTAAATGTCACTTCCTTTTTCCTACTATAACAACAATAATAACAAAAAACAAAAAACAATGACTTAGAGGTCACGATTCCCGCAATCTCAACCATCTGTATCATGGCCAAGAAC